ACATGCATTTCTATATTTGCAAGGAAAACACACACACACGCACGCTTCCTCTTACTGCAGACTGAGCTGCAGTATATCATGCACGGGTGTGGTAAAAGGTTGAATGGGCACCTTGAATTAATTCCTCAAATCATGCAACAAGGACAGGCTGTAACTCAGTGTGGAATCTGTCTGTCTTTCGTCAGCTGAGAGTGTAGTGTGAGAGCTAATAAGAAGGATGTGTATTGATTATTTTCAAGCACCTTTCATATTATGGCAGGTTTTCCTCTAGGCTTTACGCAGAATGTCACATTTACACTTCAGTGTGACTAATTATATTCTTTTTTTTTTTTTTTAATGCAACCAAGGTGTCTTAATAAAAAATTTACAGCTATACCGTTTTCTTTTTTCAAGATTCCTAAAGAATACATTGTAAGATTCAGTTATACCATTGAATAGTTATCTTCACTCAAAAGGATGTAAATCCAGTGTTGTGTGATTTGTGACCCAAAAGATGTTTTGTAAGAGAGGTGACATAATTTCCATAGTGAACTATGCTTGTCTAAATCCTAGAATTGGTGGATGTGATAATCAAGGAAAAAAAAAATGTTAAACCATAAAACATAAATATTTACTTATTTCTCTTCCATCATGGCAGAAACAATGGGGCAATTTTTCAGAATTATAGAAACCTTCAGCAATGTTTTAAGATAGAATGTTCACCTGTTTTGGCTTCAATGCTGCAGTTGACTTTCCGATGCTGAGTATCTTTAAATCTGAATAATTAATTAATAAGTTAATAATTAAAAGCATAATCTAAGCACCAAAACTATTTCAGCACATCGAATGGTCATGGTATTATTAGCGCTTTGGTTTTCTGTCAAGCTATATTGGAGCAGTTTAACAAATAGCTTGGTCCCTCTGCAGTCACACAAATAATGCAAAATAAACATTTTTTTTGAAACAGATACTACTTGTCCTGTCATTTTGGATATAAATGTTATGTATACTACTTGCAATAATATTTGTCCCAATAAAGATATCCTGATTTACACACAAAAGATTAAATATGTTCAACTCACTAATTTAGTTCTTTTGGACATTTATTGTCTGCTGTTTTCAGTGCCGAAGCCCCAATATGTGTACTCCTCTATATTGAATAACCTTTGATGGCAATGATAGGCCCAAAATTACTGGAGGCCATTTTTCTGGGGGTTTGCTGTTATCTAAATTACCTTTGCCTCAATAAGCTGTACTGTGTGTGTGAATAATGTTATGGCTTGTGAGAAAAAACCTTTTGAGTCTCTGTGGTTTATTACAGTATTACTTCTACCTAGTAGCTCATGGACTTCATTGTAGAACTGCCATTTTACAGATAGTTACTAGAGTTGAGTGAACCCGGACTGTAAAGTTCGGGTGTGTACCGAACATTAGGTTTTTTGGACCCCGGACCCGAATACGGACATATCACTGTATATTTGGGTTGGAGTTCGGTGTTCGGCGATTTAATGGCGCGTTTTCAAAGGCTGCAGGGCAGCCAAGTGTTTGACTCGTGTGCCCTTAGAAGCCATCACAGCCATGCCTACTAATGGCATGGCTGTAATTGGCCAGTGCAGCATGTGACCCAGCCTCTATATATAAGCTGGAGTCGCATAGCGCCTCACGCACATGCGGTCTTATTAGTGTAGGGAGAGGATGCTGCCGCTGATAGGGACAGCTTAGGAAAGAATTCTGCAAACTAGTACATTAGTGGGGTGGGGTGCACTTCATATCTGAGAGTCAAATAGAAGCTTCAAATACCGCGGTTACATCGGAGTTTTAAAACGTAAATCTTTTTTGGTGCTAAATAGTACATGTGACCAGTGGTGTATCCTGGTTTTGTGCTGCCCTAGGCAGGACAAAACTCAGGCACCCCCCCGCGCCACTCCCACCCGCGCAACCGCCACCCAACCTTGCCCCCTGCTCCGCCTTCTAAATACACACAAACACATTCACTGACAGATACGCATTCACTAGCTAACAGAAACACACACTCACTAACAGACACACACACTCTAACAGGCAAACACACACACTAACAGACATCCACACTAACAGACATCCACACACTAACACTAACATACGTACACTAACATTAACATACACACTAACACTAACATACACACACTAACACTAACATAAACACACACACACTAACAGACACACACACTAACACTAACATACACACACTAACACTAACATACACACACTAACAGACACACTAACATACACACACTAACAGACATCCACACACACACACACACTAACACACACACACACTAACATACATACACACACTAATAGACATCCACACACACACACTAACATACACACACACACACTAACATACATACACACACTAACACTAACATACATACACACACTAACATACACACTAACAGACTTCCACACACACACTAGTGTTTTTTTTATTTTTTTATTTAACCCCCCCCCCCAGCCTCCTTACCTTTGGTAATGCTGGGGGGGGTTCTTCCTCTCCCTGGGGTCCAGGGGCTGCAGCGCTGGGCGGGCGGCCGCCGAGGGAGCTCTTCCCCTGAGCGCTCTGCTCTGCTCAGCTCCCTCGCGCGCCGCCAGCAGAGTGAGGCTGGGAGCCGGAATATGGCGTCATCAACCCGGCTCCCAGCCTCACTCTGCTGGCGGCGCGCGAGGGAGCTGAGCAGAGCGCTCAGGGGAAGAGCTCCCTCGCCGGCCGCCCGCCCAGCGCTGCAGCCACTGCCGCCCAGCGCCCAGAATGTCTGTTAGCCGCGAGGCTAACAAGACATTTGCCCTGGGCATTTGGGGGGCGGCGTTTTTTGCCGCCCCCTGAAAAATGCCGCCCAAGGCAAATGCCTTGTTTGCCTCGCGGCTAATACGCCCCTGCATGTGACGAGAGCAATCTCGCCACATTGCATTGGAGAAGCCTGGTTGCTCGCCTGTTGCCTTTGGATTATGGCCCCTTGTTAAAAGGCTTGATTTTCCCCTGCAAAGACAAGAAAGCCGGGTCATTTGGTGCTTGCCCTGTTTGAGCAGTTATACCCCAGATAGCTATGCCATGGAGCCCATTCGTATAATGAAAGACTATGGGAAAGACTTTGGCTCCATGGCAATTGAACTGTATGTGTGTGCTCTGAGCGCCATTCAGTAATAATGTGCGCTCAGACCTAAACTATCTGGGCATATGTTGCATGTCTGTATTTTATGTCATAAATGTAACCTTATGTATTTTATTGTATTTTACTGTCTTTTTGCTGCCATGTGTTCAATGGAGTTTTGCCTCTGTCTTTGGAGATAATTGGATTACTTCACAATTATCTCCAGGATAGAAGACTCTGTGGAACTGGTTTTGGGCAGAAAAGCCATGCTTCCTGTGGACTACGATCTATCTTTTGAACCACTGGACCAATTTGTATGATTTTGACGTATGTTTGTATTTGGAGAATGCTGATTCTGAAAATGTAGAATGTGATGCATACTTTTCAAGTTATGAATAATGTGGAAAAATTTTATTTCTCTGCTTGTGCTAAATTACATTACCCATTGTGTAAGGTAATTGAATTATAGGCAGAGGGGAGGATTTTGTGTGGGAGTGTCTGAGTGTATTGTGTGTGTTTATTGGTTGTGTTCCAAAACCCTGTGGGTGGTACTAATGTGTAAGAATGTGTTCATATGAACAATAAACCCACAGCTCTGAATGTTGACTGC